TTGATACCAACTTGATGGCACATGATCAAGACATTAAATGTTAGAGCGAAGTGTCATTCTGGGAATGGAAGTTGCTGGACAGACTCTGGGGGTCAGTATTGCCACATTCAATGGAGCTGATCTGGATTGGAAACTGCCCTTAGCAAGCTCAGTGTGAATGAGATCCCTTTCCTTACTAAGATCTGCCTCCAAAGAAAACAGCAGTTCTGCATGTTTGCACCACCTGTTGGGTGTGGGAAACGCAAACGGGCTTATGCCTGGGCTAACCAGACCCTCAGCTTTCCACCCAGCTTTGCAACTTCTTTGTAAATATTTTGTCAGAAAGGGAGGGCAAGTTGAAGGAAAGTTGGGCGTGCAGCACTGAAGTTAAACATGTAGGCAGGAAGGGCGTCTGTTGCACAGGCTAAGGCAAGGTGGCTCGATAGCCTGTATATATCTGTCTTGAGATAGAACTGAGGTGATGCTAAACCAGCATGGTGGGTAACATTGGACTTCTCAGCCAGGGTTTAATGGTCATCCGCTTACATCCAGTGAGGTGGACTGCTAGTTTTAGAAGAAGTGTAGAAATTACTGCACTTCCTGCTTCACTCTTCTGTGAGGCACCTCCCCATATCTGCAGTGACTGCACAGATAAGAATTCCCTCCAGTCTGATGTTTGACTAACTCAGGTGGGACCTACACTGTTTGCAGCTGCTGGCGCCAAACTCACATTTCAAGAACAGGCAGGTTAATGATAACCCACTTTCAGAGCCTTGCCGCAATATTGGCTTTAACAGGTAAACCCAATCTGAGCCCCTGTCTTCCAGATGTTTCACCTCAGCAACTACCTTGCCCCTCTCTGCAAGGTTTTATAACACTGGAGGTCGAGATTGTTATTACGGGGACCTCTGAACACAGGATATGGCTGATGAGTCAGTGGTAGCTTGCTCACCAGCTTGTAAGCATGTGTTTGCACCTGACTCTGCTTTTCAGTCCCTCCAGCCAAGTGTTTCTCAACCTTGGCCACTTTAAGATGGGTGGACTTCAACTCTCAGAATTCTGGGAGTTGGTCTATCCTTCTTAAAGTGGCCAAGGTTGAGAAACACTGCTCTAGCCGCTGGTTTCAGCAATGGTCTTTGGAGGGGCATAAAAAACTAAGGCAGGCCTGGTAGTCTTTTGTCTGTCTGGGGATGCCTGTCAGAAAGGGGTGGACCTTCTATCACAAGGTCACAACTGCCATCTTGACTTCTTTTACTTCCTCCCCCCTCACCCTGCAGGTGAATAATTTAAATTGGCAGCATATCCAGGAAGAACAACTGCCAATCGGTGTAGATCACCCAAGGAACATATTCAGTCCAAAAGCATCTTCCTGTCTTCCTTCTTTCTGCAATTAGAATATCTCAGAGCGTTTCATCCCACCCTTAATTTCCATTGATGGAGATGCTTGATGCAGAACAAACTGCACTGGGGGAATGTTGCGTGGTCAGGAATGAGATCTCCTCCTTGGGGTCACATCTTCCTGTATCCTAGACTGGTCTAGTCATGGGTATGCCCTGCAAGTTCAGAAACAGCCACTCTCAAACCCATTTCAGATGGCTCTCATCTTGCCAGGATTGTCAGAAACCACTTATTTAAGTCCTGCTGAGCTTCTGCTCGTGTCAACACCGATAACAGGCATATTGACACCTGAATCACCAAACAGGGAGGTTTAGAGGCTGTCCTAAGCTCACAGATATCATTTTATAATTTTGTGCCTTCAAGTCAATCTTGATTCTTGGCAATACTTTTGGAAGTGGTTGGCCGTTGCCTTCTTCTTCCTAGGGCTGAGAGAGAGGAACTGGCCCAGTCACCCAGCTGGCTTCGTGCTTCAGGCAGGACTAAGATTCATGGTCTCCCAGTTTCTATCCAGTGCTGTTAACCACCACACCAAACTGGTTCCTAAACCCATAAAGAGTCACCATAGATATATTCACCGCAATAATGACTAGAATAATTTTGAATTGAACAGTACCATGAAAAGCTGCTCTTTCTATAGCAGGAGACAATGCTGCCCAAATAACATTTAATATTAGGCAGAGTATTATATATTGTTTGGCTGGATGTCCCATTTCAGCATTAATGCACACATTGAACTATTGTTTATGGCATTTTATTAAAGAATGATTACATCATTAAAGAATTAAACCCCTTCCTACAGTAGTCCACCCTCCAGCTTGGTTCTGGTGCACCTCCTTCTGGAAGCTGATCTTTGCGTGATTTAGTTTTTTTAAAAAAAGCTTCAGAGTCTAGTAAAAGAACAGTCTCACCATTTTGTGGGTTTATCATTCAGTGCAGATTAAACTCCTTTGGGCTGGGCGCAGGTGGTGGCGAAGGTCTTGTGGAGGTGATCAAAGCCACCTTTGATGCAGCACAAGGTCTGCCCAGTTGTAAACAAACCACAATTGTATTCATATTTATCTATCAGTCTTTTGACAATGCAGAGTTGGGTTAGCTGGCTGGCTGGCCAGTAGAAGCAGAGCTGGGCCCTTCGCCAAACAAGCAGTGCTGTTCTGCTTGAATAAGAAGAATCTACAAGTTATGGAGAAGGACCTGCTCCTACCAGGATGATGGCTTCATCTTGCAGCATTTGGCAGAGTTTGCTCCTAGGATTTAACGTCAGCCCACTGCTGGAATTACAGGACTCTCTCACCTGTTACCCTCCACATTTGCACTCCTAGAATTTCCAGCCAGCATGAGTTTAATTCCAGTGTCAGCTTGAGAAGCTTGGCCTCCAGACAACTTAAAGAGGACTCAGAACTCCACGGATTACCTTGAACATCCACCAGTCCAGAATCCAGGACCTGACCATGATAAGGCAGATGCACCACAGGACTCACCCGCTTTTTGTGACCTCCAAAGACACTGGGGTGTGTGTGTGAACAAGCATTCTTACATCAGATTCCTCTAGTCCGCTTCCCCAGGTATGAGGGCTCCATTCTCAGCACACCTCACTCCACCGACTTTCTCAAATTCCCTGGGTTTTTTTACCATTCACCTTCAAAAATCATTCATCCCAACCTGAGAAACCCTCAAGGTGCTTTCATGCTGTTTTACTGTTTTAAAATTGGGCTTATTTGCATTTGCTTTGCTCTCCCATACGTTGCTTTGTGGAGATTGTCGTGGCCTTGCTGGATGAGGTACAAAAGGGCCTAAATAAATCAGTCTTTTGCATCAACGAGGTATCAGGATAAAGTGCACAGCCAGGAAGTGAAAAGGGGACCTTGGGAAAGGTGTCAACTTGTTATAAGCCAAGTGCAAAGGGTTGGGGGTATATTTAAAATGTGCTTATGTGCCATCAAGTTAGGGTTGACTCTTAGTGATCACATAGATTTTCTTCATAACGTCTGTCCCCAACCTGGTCCTTCAGG